TAATAACATTCTGTCTTGCTTTAATGAGCATTGCAAAATATTCTGAAGCCACCTTGTAGTAATTTAAATTTATTACTGAATCTTTCTTACACCTTTTATAACACATTTTTATACTTATGTACTATGCAAATACAGAACTGAACTTGAGCAAACACGACTTTCTATGGAGTTGTAACAATATTTCCCTGGCGACCACGGAGAAAGCTTTGTATAAACCAGAGGGAAAGGAAGTCCACTTATTACCTTAATTAAAAATTTCAGCGTCGTGGATCTCAACGGCGACACGGAGCGTCGACATCGCCTGGCTGTCATTAATTACGAAATAGAGAAAAAAATTGAACACGACGTGCAAAGCCGAAGCCCAAGATGGCGGCGGTGAGAGGTAGCAACTTTTTTAAAATCGAACCGGCTGGTGACATGGGCGTACAGAATGTACCTTTTTAGGGTCTGATGTCTTATAAACGGCTCAACTAGCTTTGCTGGGATGTGTATTCTTCTGGAAATAACTTATTAACTGCTACTATTATTACTGCTGCTACTGATACACCCGTCACACAAAATGCAGTTAATACTGGTCATAGTTCTTATGAAAAACACAAAAGGTGAGTACTGAAAAATGCGCTTCTATTGAAACTACTTAGCAAAATATGTTGATGGTCGCCGAGGTCTTTCTATGACCATTCTATGAAGGTCAGATTAGTGCTTTCCTATGGGTTACATGGATTGGTCCCCATTCTCAGAGAACCAATTATTACTGGAAACAAATCGTATATTTTACAAACTTTGTTCATCTATATTTGTTTACATTAACGTAATATACAACGACACCGACTCACTCATCTGGCATAAAACTATAGTTGTAGTCACTATTCCTGGCGGTTACGTTATCATCGCCATATGGAATAAGTAAACAGATCAAGTCTCATTCTCTTCCTGGAAATTTTCTAATAAATTTGGAACGAGCTGTAGACCTCCATTGATCGTATTTTCGGGCATTGTACAATTTTATGTTGAATATTGATAACAGGACGACTTGAATTGTACGCCAATGTCAAGTAAGTTGTCACTCTGACAAATATGATTGAGAGGCAGTCATAACTCATACGTAACGAGACGGAGTCACACAACTGAGAAACGTATGTCTTTAAGCTTACCGAAGAAACTTTCACATACAGGGGTAGGCTGCATGTGTATGTGTGAGGGAGATGGAAATATATAAAGAGATACTGGTAGTCTTACTTTGACCCGCCGAGAACGATGAGGATAATTATACCATAGCTTTTCCGCATTGGAACAATAATGGCATCATAGTAAAAATGATCAAATGCTCGCACTGAAGTAAAGCTTAGCGTACTTTATTTAACTTTTTCAAAATAAATAATACGGGTTTTTTCAATAAGGACATAGCTATTTCGTAAGTCAATAAAACGCAAAGTATTTGATATCCGGTTCAAATTTATTACAGGTGTAGTAGAGATGTTACATTTAACTATGGAATTCGACTTCGGCCTTATTTCCACCACGAGCCCGTTTACAGCTCTCACATATTGACCGGAACGCTGCGAATTTCGCGTTGAATGTTGTCGCGTAGCTCATCTAACGTTGTTGTATAGACCAACAACTTGATGTAGCCCCACAAGAAGAAACATAATGGCGTCAAATCGCACGTACGAGGTGGCCATTCGACAGTCCATTTCGCGAGATAATGCGACTTCCAAACTTCGTCTTCAACAAATCGATTATTTGACCAGCTGTGTGGCATGTGGCACCGTCTTGTTGGAACCACATATCACTGATGTCAAGATCATCCAATCCGGCCAAAAATAATTTTCCAAAATGTCACGCTACCTCACTCCATTCACTGTAACGTGACGACTGTTCTCATTAACGAAAAAATATGGTCCTATCACACCACCAGCATGAAAACTACACCATACGGTGATTTTTTACGGATGCAATGATTTCTCTTGAAGCAAATGGTCAAGTGGCTTCAGTTTTTGAGTTAGTTTGACCTTATGGGGATGGAGACCACGATCTTTCTGCAAAATATGCCACCATGTGGTCTGAGAAATGCCAAATTCCTGTGAACTGCGTGGAATCGACTGATTTGGCACTGAACCACTTACGGCTGCGATATTTTCTTCACTTCGAGCGGTTCGGCATCTCATTGGCACAGGCACATCCAGTAGTGGATATTGAGATCCGAACTTATTCACAATGGCACGCACAGCTTGTCTGGTGGGACCATTTTCACGACCAAAAATTGGAGTTCGCGCTCTTAAAGTTCCAACCACTGAATCAGAATTCCGGAGGTAATTTTGGCTGAACTATACTTTAGAGTATATCGCAAATATTTCATTTCTTATTTTAAAATGAAACATTAGGATGTAACTTGCACGTAAATATCATTTTTTCTTTAAGAAACTCTCTGCTTGCTATTTTATAGAACTTAAAAGTTGCATTTTGGGTGCTAATACTGTGGTATAAGCTGTTTTCTTCTTGTTCATACAAAAGATTGTTCGAAATTATATGAATATAACATACACTGTAAGTTACTGTGATACTGTTCATCGCAATAATGCAATTTTTCATTATTTTAATGATGAAAATTGTTCATTGTTAAGTAGTCATTTCTTTTATTTCAGATATTTATTCCCATCACTACACCACCGTCACTGTCATATTCTCTCCATATAGTTGCGATGTTGCCAAATCATGGATAGTAATATACCTTAATTTGGTTTATCAAAATCCTACTTATATACTAGTGCAAAAATGTGCAATCGGCACAGGATTGTCATGAAAATGCGATTTGGAGGTGTGGCCGGCAGGTTTAACTGTACTAAATCCACCTTGTGCCCTACGCTAGCGTTAGCTAAAGAGAGTTATTTGAAGAATGCCTTATGCCCTTCACAAAAGTCCTTCGGATATTGTATTTCCTACATTATAGTTATAATCTATTTACTTTTTGTATGTATGTACTTGAAGAATTATTTAATGTGAAACTGATGTTACAAAATGTACCTAATTAAATGTCATATATATGAGAAATAACTGAAAAAGTAGCTGTTGCAAATCACTAAATAATCAAAACATAACAAAGAACATTGGAAGTTTTTGATGAATTGATGAAATGATCGTTGACCTTTATATAACTATTATGTTGGACGATGATATGTTGGGTGGACCTGCCGAGGTGGTCCAAATCGAGGAATCGACGTTGAGTATTTTTATATGCAATGACCGCTGGTGCCTTTTGTATTTTTATGTCACGCGAGCCGTTGGTGCATTTTCCATTGTTTAGACACATACTGTTATTTATTATTAAGTATGTTTGCAAATAACCTAATTTCTAATTACGTATTTCTCTCAAGAAGGTACAACTTGGCAACAATGGACACCATATATCTTATCTGTCAAGAAATATAAAATGGCCATTGAGAATTGTTTGTACTTTCAAATATTTTTTATAAACGCAGAAACTTTGACCTCATTGAAAATACGCGAAAAAAATGGTTAAGGAATTTCAAGAAGACATTGAAAAATCACAAAACAACACCTCTACACAGCTTAAAAAGTAAATACCATCACTTACGTATGTATTTTGATCTGTTATTTAAGCTAACAAGCTAATGTGTAATAACACGTCTGGTTTTGAACCTTTTTTTGCAAAAAAAAAGGATTTTTTACAGTTTCACATCTATTTTCCTTAGTTATATACAGTGTATGTTATATTCTTATAATTTAGAACATCCTTTTGTACAAAAATCAAAAAAGACAGCATATAAAACAGTATTCTATTCTAGAGTATTACCACCAAAAATGCAACTCCGAAGTTCTACAAAAAAGCAAGCAGACGGTTCCTTAAAGAAAAAAAAAAGATCTCCTACGAGCAACATTGTAAGATATTAGTAATATAGCTTTCGTCCATCCGACCACAGATGGCCCACCATGGATAGCTATTTCGTGCTATTTGGCAACTCTTCAGCATGATGTAGGCTGGTGGTTGATCCTGGTAATAGATGGCGCTTTGTGAGGGTCCTATTTCGATTGTAAGGTACCTTACACTGTTTTGGAAAGATTTTTTTCGCGCACAAATATTTAAATCTTTTAGTGTATCAATGAAACGCGGTAGATTAGTGTGTTACGATTACAATATCGGGCTCTAGTGAAATAATATCGTTTTTTACCATTGCCATTGTATTATCGTTCTTCCTGCGATGCATCCAGTTACGATGGTACTTAAGTCGCATTTTTTCATATTTACACTAACAGAATGTGAGCTGAAAATGTCAGATACAATTTACATGGTGTCTATTAAATACTGGTAGTTTTACTTTGACCCGTAAAGAACGGCGTCGACAACTATTCTTTCGTGATCAATTCAACACGAATCAACATTCCGTTTCTTTAAGCAAGCAGTTCGACTAGCAGGTGACACCTCATTGTTGGCAATAACGAAATAGATCGACAGAAATCTTCATAACTCATATGCTTTTGTATCTCCCTTCTCCAAGCATACTACACTTATCCCTTTTTCAGTAGTTTCCAACTTAATAGCGTTACAGCTGGGTAGGTCTCACTCCGATGATGTTGCCTACTAACACTGCTACTTTTTGTCACCATCACGATTTCTGAATTGTCCATAGGACGGTATTGTACGATAAACTTAACCAATGGTATATTGCTTTTGGGAAGAACAAAATTTAGCTCGAACCGCTCTTTAGCATAGGGTAAGGAGACACGAAGATAAGCAATACTATCCGCAGATGGCACCTTTAGAGCAGTTTCAAGCACGCCAAGCAAACAGAAAGGTGGCAATTGTGCCACAGAATGCAAGGTAGGCAATCCATACAGCTAGTGTTGGCCGCGTATTGCTGAATGCTGGGACCATATTTTTTACGCTTACGGTAACTTAACAACGATCTTCAAGATTTTAGCGTAGTAAGCGACTGGAATCACAGCGAGAAATACGTGAATATGCGATTGCGATAGCTTACCTATATTCAGGTGAAGGGCACCCCTGAGCTATGCAAATCATCGCTGCCCCTTCATCCTGAGCAACTGTGACAGCACCAGAGTGTTCGACTATGACAGGTGCTACGATCCCCCGATGCTCTGAAACAGAAAGGTTTATCAGTATTCCTTTCCGGACGTTATAATCTTTTTATGGGCTTTAACCACGGCAAATCTATACTGTTTTATAGAGAAACGTACTTTTCTCTTTTGTAGAAAATCATTGATTGCCAGAATTCAAGCAAGCCGATGGTGTGTAAGTAACGTAATTTTTCGTAATGTGAGAGATCCAGAAGCGTATTAAGTTTAAATTCTATGTGCTCCACAATAACAATATTCCTTATTGTTTTCATCGTTTTTGACGGTTATATAATCAAAGATATGCAAAATATGAACTGATCATGTCATGGGTGTAGCTTATTTTTTTCTGCATGCAAATGCATACTGCGTAAATTGAACTTTATCACAGCTGCGACTGATTCTTGCACACATGAAGTGGGTAATACGCACCATCCTTTTCATTCTCTTTCTGGTGATACTCCAATTTAAGCTCAAACTGTCGACATTGTTCATTAATCCTATTCCCAGACATTACTCATAACGAAGATCAACTGAAATCGTACGGCGATGACAAAGAAGCTGTCACACTGACAGTGTCAAGCATAGTTGGAAAACACTCATATACTAGGACAAAATTTTCGAGACGGTGATAGTCTAATCATATTGGCAAATTTTCTCGAAATAATTGTAAAGTCTGGTTTTATTGATGCAAGTTTTTCAAAACATGGGCGCATAAAATAGGTATAACAATTTTTGTGGGAAAACTTTTCATTTGACAATAAAAAATGAGACAACGCGTTTTTTGAGATTCAATGGAAATTGCTGACAGAAACGAAAAAACTATTTTCACAAGATTCTTAGGTATTTATGAGACCTTCAAAATGACACCACATGCAAAAAGATCCTACTAATAGAAAAAATTTTAAGACCGAAAGATGTTGGTCAAGTAGTTTTTTGAGAATTTCTAATTGTTTATCCCAAAACACCTGTTTTCCGATCATCACTAATAGTTTATTGAGCAATATACAGGGTTCGTTAAAAGAGCATTCAATAGCGAAAAACACGTGTTTACCTTGCCCGTATGAATAACAAACCATTCCGAAAGATAAATGTTATTTTCATACGAAATACAAAGGTTGCGTTTTTTTTTCTCAACAAAATCAAACATTTCGTATTTATGAGTAATTGAACAAATGCGCTACTATATTCAAAAAACATACGTTACTATACACATTTTAAAACAAAGCGGACGTGTCTATCTGAATTACTCATAAATACGAAATGTTTGAATTTGTTTAGAAGAAAAAACGTAACCCATCCTTCTTTGCATAAAAATAACATTCATCTTCCGGAAAGGTTTGCGACTAATATCGGCAAGGTAAACTAGTGCATTTTGCTATGAAATGTCCTTTGAACTAACCGTGTATATTGCTCAATAAACGAGTAGTGATGGCAGGAAAACAGGTGTTTTGGGATAAACAATTAGATAATCTCAAAAACTACCTAACCAGTCTGCTCCAATTTTGTAGTGGTAATTTAGGAGTACGAATCCTACGAATTTGGAAAATTTCAAAAATCTGTAAGAAACCCTCGTCGCAATACCAACAAGTGCCAAAATCTGCAGCTTACCTCGGTTTTCAGCCATAACTTTTTTGCTATCAGTCGGACCTTTTTATGTATGTGTGGTCCCACCTTGTAGGCCTCAATACCTAAAAGTCTTATATGAAGAGTTTTTTCGTTCATGCAGCACTTTCGACTGAATCCCAAAAAACACGTTTTCTCATTCTTTGTTGTCAAATAAAAGTTTGCCCACAAAAATTGGTGTACCCATTTTATGCATCCATGTTTTGAATACCCCCTTGAACAACTTACAGCAATAAAACCCGACTTTACAATTATTTCGCAAACCACGCGTATTTTCGTCTCATATGATTCGACTATGTATGACTGTAAAACGGATCCAATCTTCATCATGAAGCATACAGGTAGGTGTCTTCAGTGGCCATGTTAATACCGTAGATGTCCAAGCGGTTAGATAGACACAGATAATAATATACTAAGTGACATATAAATCCGAACACCCAGTTTAAATGGTTTTATTTTAATAAAAGTTGGTGAATGTATTTATCTTACTGTAAATAACAAGTGAAAAAATGTTCAGCCTTATCAGTTGGACATTCCGGTTTTGATACTGCTTTTTTTAATTCACTAACGCTCTAAAAATGAATATTTCAGCCGCAGTAAAGAATCAACGTTGGCGGATTTTGGTTCTTGACATCCTTTACGATCGGTTACGATGCCTAGAGTACGGAGACCTGTACGATTTCGTCAACTTAGTGAGTTTGATAGGGGCCGTATAGTGGGACTTTGGGAAGCTGGACTTTCTTTTCGGGCAATTGCAGTTAGAGTGCAAAGAAGTGTAGACACTGTGGTTAGGTGTTGTCAGGCATGGCTTCGAGAAGGCCGTACGCAAAGAGCAAGGGGCACTGGACGCCGCCATAGAACAACAGACCGTGAAGATCGCCGCCTAAGATTATTGGCCTTAAGGGACCGTTTCTCGACTACCAGGTCCATTGCAAATGAATGGTGTGCAGAACACGGAAGACCTATTGGCATGCGAAGTGTTTACCGACGAATGAGAAGTTTTGGCTTGTTTTCATACCGGCCACACTGGGTCCTCCCTTTAACTCGAGAACACCGACGTAATCGCCTTGAGTGGTGCAGAGAACGGTCACTCTGGGATCAGGAATGGAACAGTATTGTCTTTAGTGACGAGTCTCGATTTTGTTTAGGCATGCACGATGGTCGTGCCAGGGTTAGAAGGCGACGTGGTGAAAGGAGGAATCCACAGTTTTTTGTTGAAAGACATGTTCATCACCCTGTTGGAGTTATGGTTTGGGGTGCTATAGCTTATGGTTCCAGGTCACCTTTAATCTTCATCAGAGGTAACATGAACGCGCAGCGTTATTTCCACGAAGTTCTACAACCCCATCTTTTACCCTATCTTGACACCCTGGCAGATCCAACTTTCCAACAGGATAATGCCCGACCACATGTTGCAAGAGTCACAATAGACTTCTTTCAACATAATGATGTCACATTGTTACCATGGCCACCAAGATCTCCCGACTTATCCCCAATTGAGCACGTGTGGGATATGATGGGTAGGAGATTGCTCAATTTGCAATGTCCTCCTCAGACTCTAGAAGCACTTCGAGAGGAGTTGGTGGTTGCCTAGAATGAGATACCACAGGAGGACATTGACCACCTGATCAGAAGCATGCCTAGGCGCGTTGGAGAATGCGTAGCACATCAGGGTGCATCCACACATTATTAAAGGTCAAAGGGCTTTAAAGCAGTGCAATCATTTTGAAATTTTTATCATTTACTTATTATGCTTCATTAAGTACTTATACAAAATTTTATTAAAATAAAACCATTTAAACTGGGTGTTCGGATTTATATGTCACTTAGTATAGTAATGTTCTGTAAATACAGGGTGGCGCATCGAAAACGAAACAGACGCATTTACTGGCACCTCAGTTTTTTTGAAAACGCCCGTCGATTTTGTTTTCGAGGGGGACACAAGTTTGGCAAAAAATCACGTTAGCACGAGCAGCCCCCTAAGCGGGGGTGACACCATCCCCAAAATCTTAAATGGAAAGGGGGGTCGAGTGATACCTTATTTTAAAGGTCTGTCAATTCCCTTTATAATGATATAAAATTAATGTACCTCAGTTCAGCAGTTTTGAAGATTTATTGATTTAAAGCTTAAATAAAACTAATACATCATCATTAGTGGAGATCAATACATTTGGCAGCAAAGTAAATTAAAAATGAAGAATGTACTGACCCGTTAGGCAAGTAAATGTTGAAAATGGCCACCATGACTCTCCATGCAATAATAAAGATTTTGCTCAAAATGTTGCCGCACATTTTGCAATATTTGAGGAGTAATTTGGGGGCCATTCAATCCGTCGATTTGGAAACGTCTGATCTAAATATTGTCGAAGACGTAATGCGTAATGTGGTGGGGCACCATCCTATTGGAACATCAACCTATTCACAATGTACCGCCGATCATTCTGATTTTCAATTATGGATGTTAATGCAGGATCTATGGCGTCTTCCAGTAATTCCAAATACATTTCACCGGTCAAATTTCCAGGTAAGGAAAAAGGACCAACTAAATGATCGCCAAAAATACCAGCCTAAATATTTAATTTATGTGGCTGCTGTGTATGAATCTCATGATAAATTCTGGGATTAGAACCGGCCAATATCGGCAGTTATGACGATTTACTAAGCCATTTAAGAAAAAGGAACATTCGTCGGAAATGCAAGTGTTGAATAGAAAATGTTCATCGTTTATAATTGGTTCACTCATATTTTCATAAAATTGTAATCGCCGATCAAAATCGTCTTCATTAAGTTCTTGTACCAGGTGAATTTTATACGGATGAGAATTATGGGCCTTTAGAATCCGTTGGACAGTACGTCGTATAACACCACACACAATCTCCAATTTGCGGGTACTTAACGTAGGATCTACATAAACTTGCCCTAAAACCCCTACTTCTATTGCTTCGTCCCTTATGGGATTTTCAATGTTGCGTTTTTTATTGGCGACTGACCCAGTTTCCCGAAATTTAGCTACAAGTTCTAGAACATATTTTCGATGCACGTTACTGTTCTCATGTCGCTCATTAAATATTTCTGCTGTTCTATTAGCGCACTGATTATTTCCGAAAAACATTTCGATAATTTCAACTCTTTCTGTTGCGGAATATACCATGGTTAATTTATGTAATAAAGCGTTACAAGTTATTTTAGCAACAAAGTTTGGTCAAATCAATCGTAAACTATGTACTAAATTCCTATTTAAAATACGTGTGAGATATTTCTTCAAGAAATTACTTTTTTGCCACAAAAAAAAAACGCTCAAATAGCTATTTTTCAACAACAAAATGATAAACAAACCATGGGCGTAGTGAAGAAAAGCACTTAGTTATTAAGTATGTATGTAAGTATGTAGTCAAATT